GATCAGTTTTTTGCCAGCAAAGACCAAAAATTTTATGAGCGTGGAATTATGCTACTACCAGAAAGATGGCAAAAGGTGTTGGACCAGAACGGTCAATATATAATTTAATAAAGTATTTGTTTATTATACGAAAACTGTCTTTCATTTCCCAAAAAAAAAACGAAATGACTTTCCGAACAACCCTATATATATTAACCTATTACTCATTATTAATGAAAATAAAATATAATTATGCTATAACTACCAAATTACATCTAGTGTACTCTGGTAGTAAATAGACGACTGTTGTGAAATTTACCTTCATTTTTATAAATATTAACAATTAATAAATCAGTTCAGTATTACCTAAAGACTATTATGTTGACGCCCTAGTCCCAGAAGGTCAAAATGCTGGAAAAGTTAAATTCATTAAAAATAAAATAGCAAAAATACTAAATGCAGCTGGGTTTCCATTATAATGATTTATCTCAAACATCTAAACGTCTTAAAAAATACTCACTACAGTTTTAATATAATTCATCAACTTGTAGAAGCTCAGCATGGAAAACATTAGGTCTCTTATGAGAATCAAATAGAGACATTTTCCTTTATTCTATAAAGTCATGTCAAGATCAGCCTGTCACTAAACGCAGTGTTTTGTATTACAGATCTTTGACCATTTGTTCCTATTAACTTCGACTGTTATGATTGCAAAGAATATTATAAAAAAGCTTTAGTTGTGAAAATTGAGTTTGGTTGAGTCAGTTCCAGTAAACCTATATACTACAAGTTGGAAAAAATTCCATGATGAACTTGACATATTCAATCAATTAAAAATTTCTTGACATATCCTACGTCAATTTCCGGTATCTATTGAGTTGCATTCTTTTTCGGATACTAACGAATCTGCTTGTGTGTATCTAAAGTCAATCTATCAGACGGGAAAATATTACGTACACTTAATCTGTGCTAAAACATGTTTCGCACCTTTAAAAACGATTATGATTCCGAGTTTAGAGCATTGTGACGCATTGGTAAGCGCAGAGCTGACTTTAAAAGTATTATGTCTTCTAAATTGATTAAATATCTGAAATTCGTTATGTAATTATTTTTGGTAAAACTTCCGAATCGCGGCTTTTTCGAAAATGCAACTTTTTTTTGCTGGAAATGACGTAAAATGGCCTGATTATGAAAAACTTACATGAAATAATCCGGGGGAGGGCCTTTTTAACGCTTTTTTTTGCAAATTAATATTTGTAGATCACACGTCAAAGTTCACACCTCATTTTCATAGTCGCTACCCCAATTTTCATTAATAATTCAACTCCTGTAGTACGGGTTTTAGTTAAAGAAGGTGTATTTATAAGAAACTCATAAGAAAACGTCGAAGGAAAGGTGTTTTAATGCTTTTTTCGGTGCAAATAAGTGATTTATAGGTGTATAACCTCAACAAATTCATAGTCATTTATCATACGTCATAGTCACGTCTAGTCTGTTGTTTCTGAGTTCGCCTCTACAGTTTAAGTTTCATTCACTTAAAAAGTGATGTTCATTGAGCAGTTGTTTTTAACATAAATTTACAAATAGGTACAGACTGCTCCAATTTGTAGAAGGTGCAGGTATTATATATGTATAGGTTTGGAGATGTATATGTATTAGTTGCCAACCTTCGAAATACTCGACAAAATTTTGGTTAGCACCATCGCTGAGTTAGCATACGACGAATTAGGTCGACGACGAATTAGGTTAACAGTATTTGTAAAATCAGTTTTACATTAAGGGCAGACTTAAATGCACATATTAAAACACATACAGGACCAGGTAAAACTTACAAGTGGAGGTATTGTGAAAAAATTTTTATTTATGAGCGCAATTTACAGAATCATGTAACTATNTTTCCTTTATTCTATAAAGTCATGTCAAGATCAGCCTGTCACTAAACGCAGTGTTTTGTATTACAGATCTTTGACCATTTGTTCCTATTAACTTCGACTGTTATGATTGCAAAGAATATTATAAAAAAGCTTTAGTTGTGAAAATTGAGTTTGGTTGAGTCAGTTCCAGTAAACCTATATACTACAAGTTGGAAAAAATTCCATGATGAACTTGACATATTCAATCAATTAAAAATTTCTTGACATATCCTACGTCAATTTCCGGTATCTATTGAGTTGCATTCTTTTTCGGATACTAACGAATCTGCTTGTGTGTATCTAAAGTCAATCTATCAGACGGGAAAATATTACGTACACTTAATCTGTGCTAAAACATGTTTCGCACCTTTAAAAACGATTATGATTCCGAGTTTAGAGCATTGTGACGCATTGGTAAGCGCAGAGCTGACTTTAAAAGTATTATGTCTTCTAAATTGATTAAATATCTGAAATTCGTTATGTAATTATTTTTTGTAAAACTTCCGAATCGCGGCTTTTTCGAAAATGCAACTTTTTTCTGCTGGAAATTAATTAAATTTTTTTAACCTGAATATAGGTTTACGGAAATTGACTCATCCTAACTCAATTTGCACAACAAAACCTTTTTATCATAATTTTTGTAACTATAACAGTAGGGGCTAATTGGCCCAGATGGTCAAAGATCTGCGATATAATGGACAAAATACTGCGTTTATTTACAGGCTTATCTTGACATAACTGTAGAATAAAATAAAACCCAGCTAAATTTAGTATTTTTGTTATTTTAATATTCATGAAGTTAACTTCTTCGACAGTTTGACCTCCTGTGACTCAATCGTTAACATAAAGGTTTTTAGCTAATACTGAACTGATTTCTTTGATTGTTAATATTTACATTTTCCAACTCTTTTATGCAGCGAGTTGGCAAATGACAGATGATAGATAGCACACCACAATATTATCTGTAAAAGGGATTTTTGTTTATCAAAGTGAGAGCTTGAATGTTTAAATCTGCCCTAACTCGTAGTATACCATAATCATCGATAAAGGCTTTAATCGCAAAAGCTTGCTATTAAATTTTATCTAACCATATTGTTTCAAAATTGTATCTACGAAGATTTTCTTACAGTGTTATCGCAGGTATAAACGTGTTTAAATTAGACCTTTATACCCCTTAAGCCCTGATCCTTAAGATCCTGAACCCTTGGCACCAGGGCACTTTCTTTGCATTCCTTTTTCATTGAATGTACAGCCCAGATATTTAAATTCTCATACTTGTTCTAATAATACTCCGTCTATTTGTATTTGCAGATTGGTTATTATATCGATTTTCATGTTCATTCCTTTTAGCGCTTCGTTCCAGATATTTACGTTGAACTGCATGACAACTCTTGGCAAGTATTGCTAGGCCATGAGCAAAGGCGCACTCGATTATTTCTGCAATTTCGAAATTTCTATAGCCTAAATGTAGTTTTTTCATCCACGGTCTGGTTTCTTTGATAACTTCGTCCTTCATTTTAATAAATAGAAGAGGACTGCCGTGCTTTAATTCTTTCTCGATCATGAACTCATCGGTGTTGGTATGACCTGTTCTAACGACATTTCTTTTTCTTTACTTTAGTATGTTTTATGAGACCAGTCTATCTACTATATCAAACGCTTTTTCCAAGTCTAAAAATACTATATTTAGGTCTTGATCTACAATCTTTTCGGTAATTTATTTTATTGTAAAAATGCGATCCTGTATATTCAATCCTCTTCTGAAACTACTCTGAGTGTCTGTAAACTGATTTTCTGTTTTGTTGTTCAATATCGTTGCTACGATTCCCTTATAAATCTTGGTCACAACGTTCAAAAGTGTTATCCCCCTACAATTTTTACAGTCCTTATTATCCCCATTTTTAAATATACGTATGACTATGCCAATCTGCTAGTCTGTTGGTAGTTTCTTTAACTTGAACACCAGATTATTGTTTCAATATTTATTTGTCCGGAAAAAAGGAAAAAAACATCAAGGTTGATTGTTGATAAGGGGACTCAAGTAGACCTAAAGTGTTGTTAATTAATTGGTTTGTGTTTATTTATTGATCAAATGTGTATATAGCTATTTCATACAATACTGACAAAGAATAACACATACTTCTATGAAAAATATTATGACAATGGTATGTGTTATCTAAGTTGGCACTGTAAACTGTTCTTCAGTCTCTTCCTGTTCGTCATTTTCCTCTGGAACTTCTTGTACAATATCATTTTCCGTAGCTGGTGCACAAATTGCAATAGAGTTATCTGCATCAATAAACTCCTTAGCTTCAGTAGCATATATTCTGAGAATTACAATAGACCCTAAACTCGACACGTTTTTGTTTACTTTTGCGATCTTAATGATCAGTTACTGTACCAGATGTGGATACTGTTACCTATTCAAATGTTTACAATACAGCTAATCCTTCTAACAGATATAATTCTCCGAAAATATCAGTTAAATGTAGTCGCTTAAAGAGATATGTCATAATAAGCAATGTAGTAAAAATAGTGTTTTTTTTATAAAACAGAATTAAGCCGGGGCCTATGATTTTGGTCAATATAACCGGTATGTTGTTCTAAACGATGTCGTAATAAACGGTTTTGACTGTAATTAAACACGATCTAAATTATATGCATAAATAAAAGCTACTTACGTTGATTATTATACGACGAATAGCTAGCAAATGCAGCACCTAAAAATAAACAGAAAAAAAATCAAAAAGAATGTTTAGCATTAGATCCGCAGCAATAACGTAAAATGAAAGGTATAGCAGTCGTGAAAAGTTTCATGAAGAGTGTAATTCGAACGGAACAATAAGTTTAAATAATATTATAATAAATAACAACCTTGGCACCTGTTATCGACACACTTCAAATATAAAAACAAAGTTTTTCTACAATATAAATAAGTACCTACAGTGGATATGAAAACAAATTACCTGCAATTGAAGAAGTTCACATATCGTCAAAGACTATGCTGTTAGATACCCATCACAAACTTTAATTGGTAGTTTAAAATAAATTGGGCATAAACCTCAAATTAAAATTGATAATTTTTCTACATACGATAAGATATTGTCACAGGTTATTACCTTATTTATAAAACTCGTTCTTGTTTAACATAAGTGCAAAACACATTTTCTAAATTAATCGAATGGTTTTGGATTTTCATACGAATATTTATTACATTTTAAGTTTTGCAGGCAAATAGGTATTTTAATGGGGTATTCAACGATCAAACTAAAAAAAGGTTGATATATAATGAATCAACGTTTAAAACAATAAGTAACTAAGTATACCTATGATTAAAAAGGTTTGTTTGGAATGTATCTATTTGTAAATCCAAGATGGATTTTAAACCCGCAATGAGGGTTCAACGAGGGGAAATCCCCTTAGTTTTCTGCCAACTAAGCTGTATATATCTTTAGAATCGCCCATTAAAATTTCGGTAATTATATCGCAGAATCCCACTTCTGATGACTTTGAACATTTCGTATGTTGTAGAGTTGGTCATACTGAATAAGAATATATATATGTATATATGTTGAGCTCGAAAATCACGTCTTTACTCTTTTTTTCAGCTTTGGAAAATGAAAAACTACGACAACGTCTTATATATGATCGCTAATACGTCGCAAATCATTCAAGTAAGGTTAGGTTAGATGGGTGGGAAAACTGGGGGGTTGCGTTTGTATTTAAAGTATGTACAAGGTTTTAATAACTCCTTCCCCCCTTTTACCCTCAATCCAATCTTAGGTAATTGCTGAAAAGGAAGTAAAAAAAGGTGAAGATCTGGATTCCGCACCCTTGTTCTGCATGACAAACTTTACAATACACTTTTTCAAAGTCATAGGAGGTGTGGGGTTTCACGACATAATTGCCAAAATTTGCACATAAGGAATATTGCCTATAATAAAAAAAAGTCACTTCTATGTTCCAAACCTAACCTAACCAAACAATAACGTCACTGATGCACGTACATCAGGCGATCGCACCAGAACCGCATAAACACAGATAAATCTGATTCTCAGTTTACTAACGTGTTGTATTTATTTTATTTAAAGAAAGCATTAATCTTATACATTTCCTACTACAATACCGGAATTTCATTCAATTTCCAGGATATGTGTGTATTAAAAAGTCTTTGAAACAGTATTTTATAGATTTTCTAAATAGCCTCGGGATTGTGTACAATTCCTAGATTTCATACATTTTTGGTAACATATATACAGGTATCTAGTAACAAGTCGTTTTTCGTTATTCAATTTTCTAAATAGTGTTTTCAGAGTACAGAAGTGTTGTTCGTATAATGACAAGTGTGTATCACGTTTATTTCAAGTGCTTTAAAGTAACGAATCGCAAAGAACAAACTACATTGCTTTATAATATGTATGTATCGTGAGTGCCGAACAGAAGTTAAATATTTCACTATCGCATTTTTTTTCATGTAGCATGAGCGAAAATGCAATTTGGTGAAACCAAGGAATATGTTTTTTCAACAACTTTTATCTAAATATATCATCTGCTTCTCGAAAAACTTTGTCTTAAACTAGCCGACGTTTTAATATTCGTTTAGCTTCGCTTAACACCCCTCAAAAGTTATAAATTGCATTTATCGGACTTATATTCCATGGGGTGTCGCAAGAGTCAAGAATATTTTGTTCTTGTCTTCAAAACCTAGACATTATTAAGAGCAAGAACTTTTATGAGGTACGACTCTATATCAAGATGAATAATTCGAGAAACATCTTGTCATGACCGCTCATTCAAAATCTTGAGTATATCTCGTTCTCGACTTAGGGCTAACGGCGATGCAGAATATTTTTCTATGTATTTATATTTTTTGATATCTGGAAAATATAGTGATACCCCGTTTTTCGTTCCCCCCATCCTGAGCTAATCTCCGTATTTCCCCAAAATTGAAACATCCCAAATCTAATTACTATTTGCGAACAATATCCCAATCTAGGTCTTTCCGTGCCTGTTTACTCAAACAACTGCTTCCAGTATGTCTTCAAAAACTAATCAAGTTAAATTCAAATATAAAGAAACTACGTTTTTAAAATGTTTATTTAACCACGTTTACAACTTTGACGAATTAGAAAATTGCAATTTTGTCTTAGATTATGATAGATGTGTTTCAATCTGTATGTAAGAAGCACAAATGTTGGATTGCGTCCAAACGATGAACGTAGATCGCGTTGCGTACCTATTCAAGTTCAAAATTCGTTTATTGCAATGTATAAGCGTAACTTTAATTTCAAAAGGAAGTAAACAGAGGAGTGTGACACGAGTGCGAGTGGCACTTGTCAATAATTAATATAACCGCAACATGCATATTATAATTGTATTTAACTACAATAATACATGTTAACTTATGATTTTAGCTCAACGATCTTATCGTTAGCATTAAATGTCGTATAACACCTTTTTATGTTTAATTAAATAAACTTTGAAACTTGATACTGGCTTAAAAAGTACCAAGATTCATATCACTGAAATTAGTAAACTTAACTTATTTGTTTGTTTAATTGTAAATCAGTATTTTATGATAAAAGGAACGACAAATTTTATAGCACCATGCAAAACCAAATTTTGTAAATTAAAAATTTATTTGGGGAAGAAATTTGCAGGATAATTGTATGAATAATGAATAAAGGATAATCCTAGTAAAGGATTTATTTTTTTTCGGTGAACTTACCAAAAGTAAGTAATAGAAACCCTACAAATTGCACCATTATGACCAGCACTGTTACACACCCGAAAATGAATGAAAAAATACATATAGGAAGATTGTCAATTCGGCAATTTATAGACAGATTGGCTCGTGGCTCTTAATGAAATTGATACAATTCCCGTATCAGTCATTATCTTTATAAGACAACAATGTAACAAACACTTAGCGTTTATAAAAGTTTAACAATGGAATTTTCAAGAGTATTTAACAAATAACATTCCAAAATTTAAATTTCATACCTATGTTAAAGTGGACCTTGATATACCTTCATAAAGTTTTCAACCTAATTCTGCTACTCTAAAAATTATTCCTGGTTTAGAATTACGTATTTGCCCTTAAAGGTTATTTATTTAACAAATACAGTTAACCCAACAGGAATTACTCGAATGTAGCTCAAAGACTATTTCTTCTCTCCTACTCTCCTGTTTCTGATATATGAATTTTTTACAATTAAAGCAAAAAGTATGCGCTAAATCAAAATAATCACCCTGTAGTCTTTCATATTTATGTATTTCCCGTAAAAGTTAATCAAAGATGTGATGTGTTTGCAAGATTGCACAATATTCATATGAATTTAAAATTAGAACTGATAGCACTGATTTCAGTAGACAAGGGAATTGTTTGTCATAAAATCGTTAGAGATAAGATTCATTGGTGACAAATAATCAAGTACATATGCATTTATTTGAAATCCATGTAGGCTTTTTTCCGTTGTTGTCTAGGGTGAATAAAAACGAATCCAGCTCCACTATTTTTAGAAAGTGTTTAATGAATAAAATTAAAATATTAAAAAGTATAAACGTTTGCACAATTAGAGTTTTCCACAGTATTGAACAGCTATCCTGATACACTTTTCTTATTGGTCACAACAGCACATCAATATACAATTGATTTTATCGTCTTCCGTCTTTATCGTCTTTTTCAGGACTTTCCGTCTTTTGTACGTCTTTCGTCTTCTACGCGTCTTTCGTCTTTCTCGCGTCTTTCCTCTTTTATTTTTACTCTTTTTGTTCGTCTGACCTCGATGGCTACTTATTTGCAACTACTCTTCCCCCGCGGTGTTCACCTTCGTTCACATTGGTAAATCCCCTATAATCTGGGACTTGCAAAAACAATTCGAATGAATCAGGAGCGGACAAACTGCAGAAACTCGCTATCGTATTATTAGGATAAATATAACTGTTATAACTTAACGGAAAGAAAAATAAAACAAAAACCCACACTCGGCCATCCTGATCACGAATCCGACTCGGATTCGGACTGATTGTCAATCCATGGTTTTAAGTATTCGGCGCAGGTGGTAGTGCGCATTGGCCCTTCGTGATGACCCACTTTTAGTACATCATACCTTTCATTAGGCTTGTCCTTTATTATTTCATATGGCCCTAAATATTTTGGATAAAGTTTAAGTCCCGGACCGAATTGTGTGCGCTTGATAGCCACAAGATCCCCTTTTTTATAGAATTTTGGTTTTCTTCTTCTCAGATTATATCGTTTTGTATTCTCATCCTGTACTTTTTGAATTTGTCTCTTAGATTCTTCTCGGAGTTTTTCCCGATTTTCATTAAATGTATCAATTGTTTCCTTCTCTATGAGTTCTTTAATAAGAATATCCTCTTTGTTCCTCATTTTAGTTCCAATAAGGACTTCAAACGGAGTAGTGTTGATACTTCTCTGTATGGTACAATTCAATGCTCTCTGCACTCGATCTAAATATTTGTACCATGCCATCGGGTTTTCTAAACTTAACTTGGTTAATATTGGGATAATTATACGATTGATACGCTCCACTTGCCCATTCCCTCTAGGTACTCCAGTAGTAATTAAAACATGCTGTATGTTTTCGTTAGAACAATATGTTTCAAATTCCTCGGCTGTAAACGCTGTTCCTCGATCACTAATAATTCGGGCAGGATTTCCGAATATTCCTTGTTGTTTTGTGAGGCAACTGACAACCTCGCCGGCCGTAGTGGACTTAGTGGCGTATAGCCAAGTGAATTTCGAAAAATCGTCGACAATAACCAAAATGTGACGATAGTTTTTATTGGTGCTAGGTAGTGGTCCCAAATGATCAATATGGTAGGTATGAAGAGGACCCTCCATTTTTGGGATGCAATGTAAAAACCCCTCTTGCCTGCCTTCTTTTCTACTCCCTAATATACATGGAACACAGTTTTTTATACATTTCTGTATTTTTTCTTTCATTTTTGGGATGAAAAATTCTCTTTTTATTACTTCCTTTGTTTTATCGACGGCGAAATGTCCAATTTCATGAGCCTTCTTAATTATTTCATCTTGCATAGCTTCGGGAACAACTATCAATTCTTTTCCTTCCACATATTTGTATAAAATATCATTCTTTAGGTGATAATCTTCGTATTCAACATCGGCTTCTAGTAGTCTTCTTATAGTTAGTATACGTTCGTCTTGGTGTTGAGCTAATTTAAATCTCTTCAACACACCGTCTTTGTCAGCAAGCATTTCGCTGACTACCATCATGTTTACAGGGTTTCGACTGAGGGCGTCAACGTGTGGCATTTGTGATCCTCTTCTGTGGACTATTTCGTATGTATACTCCTCGAGAAGTAAAGCCCATCTTGCTACTCTGGTAGTAAGATCTTTTTTGTCCATTGTTTTTTGGAACGCCGAACAATCTGTTACTATGCGAAACTTATTGCCCAGTAAATATATTCGAAATTTCTTTACAGCCTGTATGATTGCAAGCACCTCGAGTTCATAGCTGCTGTACTTTTCTTCTGCAGGAGTCGTCTTCTTACTCATAAAATAGATAGGGTGAAATTTACCGTCATCGTCATTTTTCTGCAACAGACAAGCTCCATAACCAACTTGACTTGCGTCAGTGTGCACTTCTGTTTCACAACCCTGTCTGTATATCGCTAAAACTGGTGGTTTTGTCAAAAGTTCTTTAAGTTTTTCAAAGGACCGTCTCTCCTTGTCTTCAAACTGAAATGGAACGTCTTTTCGCAATAAATCGCTCAATGGCTTGGCAACCAATGCATATGCGGGTATAAACTTTCGGAAATAACCCGTTAATCCTAAGAAGGATTGTATTTGCTTGCAGGTTCTAGGTGTTGGAAACTTCCTTATTGCGATCGTTTTTTCACTGGAAGGCTGTATTTTTCCATCTTCAATAATAAATCCCAAAAAACTAATTCGTTTCCGTAAGATTTGACATTTTTCTTTCTTGATTTCAAGTCCATAGTCACTTGCTATTTTCAATACCGTTTCTAATCTTTGTATTCCTTCCTCTTCACTGGTGCTTAAAATAATTAAATCGTCCATGTAATACAATACAATTCTCTGATTGGCTAAGTCTCGAAAAATGTGTCCAATGAACCTCTGAAAAACTGCAGGACTGTTACACAGGCCAAAAGGGCATCGTAAAAACTCGTATTGTCCGCTAGGTGTAACAAACGCGGTATACTTTACACTTTCATCTGCAACCGAAACATGAAAAAATCCATTCCTCAAATCTATGGTACTAAAGTAATTTGCTCCCTGAAGACAGTCCATCACATCTTCAATTAATGGAAGTGGAAACCTATCTTTGATAATATTTTTATTTAGTTTCCTATAGTCACAACAGATTCTGGTTTGTCCGTCTTTCTTACTCACTAATACAATTGGACTAGCAAAATCGGAAGAGCTAGGCCTGATAATGCCTTCTTTCAGCCACTCCTTTATTTGTTTGTCGACAATGATTTTCTCGGGAGCAGTCAATCGCCTAGGTCTTTGATAAACGGGTTCTTCACTTCTTAGTAAGATGTTCATCTTGATGTCTGTGGTTTTGATTTTTTTAGGTTTATAATTTTCAAGTAAACCTAAGGCTTTTTCGCGATAACTTTCATTCCGAATATGTTGAATATCCACTACATCCGACGATTTGTCCTCATCTACGTTAATTTGCATTAGGAAATTTTCCTTTTCCTTGGCGTATACTTCTATCCCATCATTTCGAATGTGGACATTTACTTGAGACAGAAGGTCATTTCCAACAATAGCTCCGAAACTGGAAGTACTTGTAGGAATTACATGAAACCTTAAAATGACATCCTCATCGTTAACCTTCGCATTCTGAGAAAAAGATCCTAAAGTTGTGACTTTACCTGAGCCAATTCCCTTAATTACCATATAATTCTCATCCAGTTTAATGTCACTAAAATATTTTTCGAAAACGTCTTTCCGTAACGCACTAATGTCACTCCCTGTATCAAATAAAGCCAGCAGACTCGTATTCCTAACAATTAGCTGAATACTATTTTTTGGAATAACTTCAATAACACTTAGATTTTTGTTAGATAAATTCTTTTTGGGACACTTGGCAGCTATGTGTCCAAAACGATTACAAGAAAAACATTTCATTCCTTTGTTTTTATGTGGACATCCACCGGATATATGACCGTTCTCTCCACAGTTGTAACAGACTCCTGATTTTGGTTGACTCTTATCATTGACTGTCCACTCCCTCCCATTATGTCGTTTGATATCTTTATTTCTCGGTTCAAATTTGTTTTGACCTTGTACGTATCCCGATCCGTGTCCGTAACCAGAGTTTACCGATTTTATTTGCTCATACAACTTAATTTTTTCCTTAAATTCTTGAAAGTTCTTTGCGCCGTACAAAATTACTTTATTTGCTGTATTATCCTGAATGCCGTCAATAATGCACTGTATGATTACCTCAGCTTCAATATTTGCCCTTCCACCAATCTCTCGCATGATTAATACGTATTCCTTTACAGATTCTTCTTTGCGTTTTGTCCTGGACATGAGCAGTTTATGTATCTGAGCACTACTCACTTTGACTTCAAATTCTTCGATTAATTTCTTTTTTAACATTGACCATGACTTAATACCCTTTTCTGACTGCACAAATAACTTGGCAAGTCCTGATAACGATTTTTTTGCAAATATAAGCTTCTGTAAATCATTCCATCCTGTTATCTCAGCTGTCTCTTCAAAATCAGCTATCCATTTTTTAACAGGATAATCGGCTTTGCCGTCAAATGGTCTGACGCTGTCTTCTATATCTCGAAAAGTTAG